CCTCAAACAGCTACTTTACGAGCAGATAGATAAAGAAAAAGCAAAACATTACTAAGACAAGCAGCAGCAGATCAGAGGAGCTTGCTCATGCATGCGCAGCATCAAACGCTTCTGCTGCAGTCGCGGCTGCTTCGGTTGCCGGCGCTGGTAACTAAACAGCCCAATGGAGCAGCAGCAGCAGCAGCAGCAGCAGCAGCAGCAGCAGCAGCAACAGCGGCAGCAGCAGCAGCAGCAGGGGACAGCCTCGAATACATGGGCAGCACCTGCAGCACACAGCAGCAGCAGCAGCAGCAGCAGCAGCAATAACAGCAGCAGCAACGGGGTCACTGTTCACTCAATTGCCACCCCGGCGCAGACAGAAGCTGTTGCAGCAGCAGCAGCAGCAGCAGCAGCAGCAGCAACGAAGCGAAAGAAGTTTGCTGCTGTGCGGCTGCTCAGCAGCAGCAGCAGCAGCAGCAGCAGCTCAGATGAAGATGCGCCTACAGTGCCTCTACGGCCATCAGGCCCAGGGAACCCAAACACGCAGCACACTGCTGCTGCTGCTGCTGCTGCTGCTGCTGCTGCTGCTGCTGCTGCTCTAGAAGATTCTGAGGGCAGCGGGGATGAGGAGTGGCTGCAGTGAGCACAGACACAGCTGCTGCTGCTGCTGCCGATGCTGCAGCTGTTGCTGCTGCTGTTGCTGCTGTTGCTTTTGCTGCTGCTGCTGTTGCTGCTGCTGTTGCAGCTGCTGTTGCTGCTGCTGCCGGTAGTGCTGCTGTTGCTGCTCTGTGTGTGTTGATGCTGCTGCTGCTGCTGCTGCTGCTGTGTCTTTCCTTCTTTCAGGGGGCTGCTGCAGTCTGCAGCAGCAGCGCAGCGGCAGCGGCCGGGAGTTGCTGCCAGCAGCAGCAGCAGCAGCAGCAGCAGCAGCAGCGGGGGAGAAAGCAGCACCCCAGATTCACCCCGGCTCCTGTCCCGTGCTGCTGCTGCTGCTGCTGCTGCTGCTGCTTCTTCAGCTCTGGGTGGCAGCACCAGCAGCAGCAGCAGCAGCAACATGGGCCCAGAGGTCTCTGCAGCAGCAGCAGCAGCAGCTGCTGCTGCTGGCAGCAGCAGCGTCGAGAGCGAAGCAGCAGCAAGCGCATGCAGCAGTTTGCTGCTGGATGCAGCAGCAACAGCTTCTTTTGCTGCTCTCTGCAGCAGCAGGAGAAATCTATGGGGCCCGCATGCATGCGCTCATCGAGGCAATGCTGCTGCTGCTGCTGCTCTGGGGGACTCAGCAGCAGCAGCAGCGATAGAAGCACAAGCCACAGCAGCAGCAGCAGCAGCAACACCAGCAGCAGCAGCAGCAGCAGCAGCAG